GTGACTGCAATATTCATTGAATAGATGACAGTAAAGACCCATAGATGGTGATAAGTGGGGTAGTGATAACTCCTGGCATGTAGATGCATCACAGTTACTGTAGTGGATTTGCGTGAATAGCAGGTGGAAGGTGAAGTGTTAGGTTATACCGTAGCAGTGACATTACTGTGGAATGGGACTAACGGAAATTATAAAGATGGAGGTGTTCTTTAGCCATTGTTAACTGCTTTGGAAACCTTGAAAAAAGAAAAGGGCATAGGTTCATGTTAGCTACTTAAGGCATGCTGTGGAAACCAGAGTGCCTCAATAGCACCTTTCAAGAAAAATCTCATCTCATGCGGATGAAGGCCATCTGTGCTGACATTCCAGCCCAAATTTAATAGTAAAGGTGCAAGGCTGCAAAGGAAACTGAATGCACAGCCTTGATCATTTCCTCCACCAAAGTTAGCATGCCTACAGGAAAAGGAACCTTGAAACATGCAATGGGGACACGTGTGTGGGTAAGACTGAGAAATACTGAACCCTCAGGTTTTCCTGAACCTTGGAGCTGGCCGAAGCAGTCTCCTCTACGTTGCTAGAGGAGAGCAGCCTGCCCTTGCCTGGAGATCCTGCAAAGACTATTTGAGGCACTTGCATTGCAAGATAATACTTGTTCTCCTTAAGACCCATCCCTGCTATGCCTTATTGACTCTGAACTGGTAACTAGGATCAGATCTCAGCATACCCTTAGAGCAGATATACAGTCCTTCCTATAGGAGGATAGGTGACAATTTGCATGAACTGCAGGTTCTGGTCTAAATGTACTGGAAGGAACCTAGGAAACATGTTTGGGAATAGATCTTGAGGGTGTTGGATCAGGGAGTGGAATATAAGGCTTGACAGGAAAGAGGGACATAGTAGCACTTACTTATGACTCAGGCTTTAATGTCCTGGCAAGGGTATCTGGAGTTGGTCCTAACACATTGCTAGGATAGCATATGGAAGATATGGTAGAAATGCCAGAAGTTATTTGGCATAGTATTGAGGAGGGGCTCAGAAAGCTCAAGAAAACAGCAATGTTAGAATGGATTTGTTGTTTAAAACTGGAGAAGCTACCACTTGACTGTTTTCTTTGGGAAGGCTCAGATGATGCTTGTAACTAAGGCAATAAGAAATGTAATGGTGAAGAATATACTGGCAACACAGAAGTTCGGCAGTGGCTAACCTCTGCAGGGTAGAGTTGATGGTAGAAGATGCTGCCATGATACTGGGCTCCTTTATATAAGTGTAGATGATGGGATGCAGAAATGTCAAAGGCCAGGTTGTGGAACTTAACTGTCAGAGGCCCAATGGACATAATTAATAGGTACGAAGGCATGGATCTGTGAAGAAGGTTAAGATCATGATGTTCCAGGGGAAAGATAGAAGCACGGCTGATTAGGATGTTATTTGACTTGTATAACCATGGTTCCTCACTCAATTTCTGAATCTAAGGCAGTTCAGATCTAGAGCCCATTGATGGAAGGGAAAGCCCAGATCCCTTTGAGGAAGGATTCTCAAGTATATATGATAAACATCCCCTTGATGCTTCCCCAAAGGGTCAGTCATTTAACACCATTTACCAGGGTAACTATGCAGTAGAGAAAGAGGAATATTAAGATTTTAAACCAAGGACTACTGGACAGGATCTGAGCTGATATGGATCCCAAAGGACCCAAAACACCATTATGGTCCTCTGGTTTTATGGAAGCCCAATGATAAATGAAGTCCTGGCCGAAGTCCATCTCAGTGGGTACAGTGGGTCTGGCGACACTCTTTGTTTATTTCTACAGTCCTTAAATATATATAATTGGGATAGATCAACTTAGAAGCTGATAGTTCTTGCTTTTTGCCCTAGATGCTTCTCAGGTGCTGCAGGCTTGAGTCAGAGTTAATGACCTAAGGGCCACCCTGACCAATGGGTTATGTAGATATAAAGTCAGTAGGGATATAGAAGACCTGGACAACTATTAACCAACTTGACCTAAGTGACATTTATAGAACACTCAGCCTAATGACAGCAGAATACAGTAGTCCCCCCTTATCCCTGGTCAATATGTTCCAAGACCCCTAGTGGATTCTTGAAACCGTAGATGGTACCAAACCCTAAAATATTACGTTTTTTCTATACATACATACCTATGATAAAGTTTAATGTATAAATTAGGCACAGTAAGAGATTAACAAATAGAATAACTAACAAATAGAACAATTATAACAATATACTATAAAAAATTACGTGATAAAAATTTTCTCTCACAAGATTCTCTCACAATCTTGTTGTACTGTAGCCACATTTCTTCTTGTGATGATGTGAGATGATACAGTGGCTACATGATTAGATGAAGTGAAGTGAATGGCATAGGCATTGTGATGTAGCATTGGCCTACTACTGACTTCCTGAAGATATGTCAGAAGGAAGGTCATCTACTTTGGGTGATCCTGGGTCATCAGGCCATGATGATGTCAGTGGTTGGATGTTAGGAGGAGACAATGTCAATGGTTGGGGATCCAGGGCACTATGAAGCAGGAAAGTGTAGGATTTCATCATACTTACTCAGATGGGTGCACAATTTAATACTTATAACTGTTTATTTTTGGAATTTTCCATTTAATATTTTCAAACTCTGGTTGACCTTGGGTAACTGAAACTGTGGATAAGGGAGAACTGCTGTACACATTCTTTTTTTTTTTTTTTTTAGTGCACATGGAACATTTACTAAGATTGACTATATTCTAGGCCATAAAACAAGTCTCAATACTTTAAAGACGATTCAGATGGTAATTTATGTCCTCTGACCACAATGGAATTAAATTAGAAATCAATAACAAGGTGTCCCAATATTTGGGACATCTCCAAATATTTGAAACTTATATAACATGTGTTTAAATAATCCATGGGTCAAAGAAAAAAATTAGAAGAGGAATCAAAGTACTTTTAATGGAATGAGAGTGAAAACATAAAAATACGTGTGTCATTCAGCTAAAGCAGTACTTAGAGGGAAATTTACAGCACCAAATGCCTATACCAGAAAAGGAGATTTCAAATCACTGACCTCAGCTTTCACCTTAAGAAACTAGAGGAAGAAGAGAGAATGAAAATGAAAATAAACAGGAAAAAGGAAATAATAAAGATCAGAGCAGAAATAGAAATAGAAAACAGAAAAGTAATAGAGAAAATGAATAAAACCAAATGCTGGGTTTTTTGAGAAGACAATATTGATAAACCTCTAGCTAGATGGATCAGCAAAAGATAGAAAGCACACAATTCACCAACATTAGGAACAAGAGTGGTGATATCACTATAGATTCTACAGATATTAAAAGGATAATAAAGGAATGTTATAAACAACTTCATGCCAATGAATTTGACAGCTTGGATGAAATGGATAAATTCCTTGAAAGACACAAACTATGAAGTTCATTCAATAATAAATAGATAATAGATGATTAGACCTATATCTATTATATGCTGATTAGCCTATATATCAATTAAAGAAACTGAATTTGTAGTTAATAAAATTCCCACAAAGAAAATTCCAGGCCCAGATGGCTGCACTGTGAATTTTACCAAATATTTAAGAAACAAAGATTACCAATTCTATGCAGACTTTTCCAGAAAACTGAAGTTAGGAATTCTTTACAACTCATTCTATGTGGCCAGTATTGCTCTGTATCAAAACCAGACAAAGACATTATAAGAAAAGAAAATTTCAGACCAATATCCCTCTTGAACATAGATGCAAAAATTCTTAACATTTTAGCAAATCTAATACAAGAATATATAAAAAGGATAATACATCATGACCAAGTGGGTTTTATCCAAGGGATGCAAGGTTGGTTTAACATTTGAAAATTAGCCAGTGTAATTCATCATATTAACTAATTAAAAAAGAACCACATGATCATCACAGTAGATGAAGGAGTATTCGACAAAATTGAACATACATTCATGATAAAAGCTCTCAGCAAACTAAGAATAGAAGGTAATTTCTTCAATCCGATAAAGGGTATCTACTAAAACCCACAGCTGGTATCAGTGGAATAGTACTTAGCAATAAGGAGCAACGAACTATTGATACATGTGAAAAAATGGATGAATCTCAAAATAATTATGCTGAATGAAAGAGAACAGAGGAAATGGACATACTGTATGATTTCATTAACATCCAATTCTAGAAAATGCAAACTTACGTATGGTGACAGAAAGCAGAATCTGTTCTTTGGGGTAGACATGGGGAGCCAAGTACTACAAAGAGGCATGAGGAAACTTTTGGGGGGGATAAAGGAAATGACTTATCTTTGTGAACAGTGAGGATGACTGCAACAGTATATAATATGTTCAGTCATCTAAAAATGTACTTTTAATACCTGCAGCTTATTGTATATTAATTATACTTCAATCAAGCAGTTAAAAATTAATGGAGCGGGGCTCCCATGGTGGCGCAGTGGTTGAGAGTCCGCCTGCCGATGCAGGGGACGCGGGTTCGTGCCCAGATCCGAGAAGATCCCGCATGCCGCGGAGCCGCTGGGCCCGTTGAGCCAAGGCCGCTGAGCCTGCGCATCCGGAGCCTGTGCTCCGCAACGGGCGGGGCCACAACAGCGAGAGGCCCTAGTACCGTAAAAAAAAAAAAAAAAAAAAAAGAAAGCAAAATAGTTTTCTACTGTTATGCAAGGTTTGCCACAAAGGGTAATATCTGCTTATAACCGGATAGATAAGCTATATTAGTTTTTCCCCCTTACTGTCGTGAAAAACGCTGCAACACAAGAGAGGGATCTGACGCTAGGCTGGACCGAGAAATGCTTGTAAATCTACCAATTTGAAAACCACATTTTCATTAACTAACGTCATTTTCTCCTTTCCACCTGTAAAAAAGAATGCCGGGATTCTTCTAACTTGGTTGCTTTAAAATTTTAATCACCGCGTACAAATTAGGAAAGGCCACCAAATCCAAGCCACTACCTTATATCATTATTTGAAGCCTTGTTAAAGAAGCAGCCATTAGCCCGCAGGTGCTGGGAATACCCGCCCATAAATCTTGCAGGCGCAGTCTCCGCGCGCTGCCCGCCGGGTGCCTGGCCTCAGCCAGCACGCCCCGCCCTAGGCCCGCAGGCCTTGGTGGTCACGTGAGCGAGGCACCGGCTCGCGCTGAGCCAATATGAAGGCGCAGCAAAGATCGCGCAAGCGCAGTGTGGGGCCAGAGTGGCCGGGGCTCGTGAGGTAAGCCTCTGCACTTGCGTCACGGCCGGCTGACGGCGAGCTGACTGCGAGCCACGGCCTAGGGACGGAGGGCTGAGGGCCCAGCGTGTGGGCCCGGGGTCACTTTTCTAGAACTTCTCTGGTGAAAAGTGCGAGGTCAGTAGGAGTCTTTTTGGTAGGTTGTTGGTGGCTGCTTCAGGGACCGTATTTTCACCTCTGGTGGTCTTTAGGGCTGACCAGTATGGGCACGGCCCGTTTCCGGGCCTTCTTGGTCTCCGAGCCGCCGGCCCACTTATGAGGGTGACAGGCACCCCAGTTGCTGAGTGTGGTGCCGGGAGGTGAAGCTGGCCTGCAAATAACTGAGGCCTGCGTGATCTGGGTGAAGACAGGGACCTGCAGGCCTGTTGTCGGGTGGACTTTTCTCTTCCCGCAAACTACGTGCCGTTTAAGCTTCGAAATCCCTGCTAATATAGGTGTTAAGGAGCGACCTGGACTTACTTATTCCAAACTCTCGATGTGAAATGGAAGTGCCGTTTGGTAATCTAGGTTTGCAGAAAGTGGGTGCAGCATCACTTCCTTCATAACCATGTGGAAAAGTCTTTTTTGACCCCTTTAAAAGTAACATTTAAATATTATTTTAGCAGTGGCTTTTTAGATCGTGTGGTGCTATTTCCAAGGTAAACATTTTCATTTTTACTAGGTTTAAGCCAGTGTCTTCCAGTGAAATATAGTTTCCCTGAACAGATTCCAACTTGGTTTTACAAGTTTTTGCTCAATTTAAAAATTACTTTTGGCCAGTATTTGAGGAAGAATCCTTCTTTTAAAGATGTGTTGATCCTAGTTAGTGTATGCGAAAAAAAATGTTTTAAGTTGTAACGAAAATAAGAATAAAGTTTAAAAAATAATTTTTACGACCTTCCCCCCTGCCCCCCCATAGGGTTAAATCTTTCCCCCATATTTGGGAGAGTATTTGGAGCTTTGGTGTAGTGATGTTTAGTTAACTCTTAAATTTCTTAAAAAATTTTTATTGTTTTCCATTTCCTTCAAAAAACTAACATTTATGCATGTGAAGTGCAATCTTATGGTGTTTTAAGGATAAAATTATAAACTAGTAGACATTTATCTTGAAATATTTTGCAGTTGGGAAAGCAAATTATTTAATGAAAATTATTTTTGAAGGTATGTATAAAGTTTGATTCATTTTGCAGTTTTTAAATGCAGGGTATCTTCAAAAGCAGAAACAACTATGCCTTTTAAATAAAATGGATATGTTTATTTAAAAATTAAATACCAGTCAGAAGCATTTGTTTTACATATGTTTGTAGTGTTTCTTTTTGTTTAAATTATGGAAGTCCTACTCATGTTTGGGGAGGGCATCGATTATTTTAAAAGAGTATGCACATTGTTCTGAAGTATTTATGTAACTGATCAAAGTGTGCATGAATTATACACTTCAAGGTAAATTTATAAAGGTTTGGCTAAAGAGATAATTTCAAAGATAGAAATTGCGTATGATGAAATTGCAAAATACAATATACTGAAAACAATTATTGAAGAAAATATCTTTGGGGTTGTTTTTAATGTAGAGTTTAAATTTTGATAACTTAGGACAAAACGTACTTGGAGGAATTTGGACATTATATGGTTTAGTCTTTATTCAGTGTTAATGGACAGATTAATAGAACCTAATTCAAAGTATTGAATTGTTTTAGTTTTTCAGGAATTGTCCAGATGGATGAAGAAGTACATTACAGTAAAGGTACTGACACTAAAAATTTTTTGTTGTAAGAGCTAGATGATCTTGATTAATTTCTAATTTTCTTTGCATTGTGATTTGGTTTTAGTTGAAGATGTGATTGGAAGTCATGTAGAAGATGCAGTAACGTTTTGGGCCCAGGTAAATAGTAGCCTGGTTGATTTCCTCTCCCACCCTTTCCTCCACTAATCCAGGTCCTCCTCAACAAAAACAAAAATAAAAACCCTGTAATGTATATATATCATTGTTATTCTCAATGCTTAATTTTTATTGAACATTATTTAACACAGAGCATTATTAGAAGGCAAGTGGTTACAGCTGGAACTTAATACCAGAATTATGAGTAGTATGCTCATAATACACTGAGTTGAAAAAACAGCAAAATTGTAGTTGTGGTTTTAGAATTACATTCAATTTAACACATCTAGGCTGCATAAATTACTGAAGATGCTGAAAAACTGTTGTATTTCTGAAGTTACAGCCCCATCTAGAGGTCTCTGATAAGATTGTTTAAGTGGTACGAAGTTTTAAAATTTCAGTCATTTTTTTCTATTGGCTTAATTTTGAATTTGAGGTACAATGTTTTTCTCATCATATACTTGGAAGTACTAATGGAACATTTATAATTTTACATTGGCATGCTTCAGGACAGGTAAGTTTACTCAGTTTTAAATACAAAGCAAGGCAGCAAAGTGCTTATGTTCCAGAATTTAAAAGGTGAATCCCTCAGAGGTACACAATTACTCACTAATTTTTAATTTTGTGAACTACATGATATAGGAGGGAAGGGAATAACATTTCTCTGTACTTTTACAGCCTGATAACTCCTTTTTGTACGGGTAGAGTGAATTGGCAATGTGGGAAATAGGATTTATGAGAAGAAAGGTTATAGAAGACATATGATTAACTCAGTGTTCTTAAATCTATATAGAAAACATTTTAGAAGGGTGATTGTCATAGAAAAATTTTGGCAAATTTGTATCTCTGCTTATGAACATATTTTCTAAAGGTTGCCCACAATGTTTTGGTTCAATGCCCATTGTCTCTGCATTAATAGCACCTGTGACCCTCTCAACAGTGTTCCAGGTTGGATGATAAATGATATTTTTAAGCTCATTATATAGGAAAAACATTTATTATCTTAAATAAGATTTTAAGACCAGCACTGTCTGGTAGAAATATAATGTAAGCCATATAAGTAATTTAAAATTTAGTAGACACATAAAAAAGTAAAAAGAAATGGGCAAAATTGATTTTAATAAATATATTTTATGTAACTCAGCATATCCAAAATATCATTTCAAAATACAATAAATACAAATGTTACCAAGATAGTTTATTTTCCTTTTTTTCCTATCCAGTATATATTTTAGATTTACAGCACAACTTAAATCAGACTAGCCATATTTCAAGTAAGAATTGGCTATTGTATTGGTCATTGCAGCTCTAGACTTTGATTTTTATTGACCTTTATGTGAAACTGTTGCTTGAATTTGGAACTATGATTTAAACCAGGAGTCAGCAAACTTTTTCTGTGAAATATTAGATAGTAAATATTTTAAGGTTTGTGGGTCTCTTTTGCAACTGTTCAGCTCTACAAAAGCTGCCATTGTAGTGCAAAGGCAGCCATAGACAATACATAAATAAATATGTATAGCTGTGATCTATTAAAATTTTATTTACCAAAACAGGTAGGAGAGCCCATAATTTGCCAACCTCTGATTTCAACCATGAAGTTGAGGCCCCTGTAGAAATTTAAACATATTTCAAAAAGTGAGGAAAAATATCTTAATTGGATGAAAAGATTAAGTGAAAACTGATAAGGCGTCCATATGAATCGAATGATTTTTTTCGAGAAGCAAATTGTTTGTGCACACGTGCGAATCCATACCGGAGACACGTCCTGTATGTGCCCCTTCGACGGTTGTAATAAGAAGTTTGCTCAGTCGACTAACCTGAAATCTCACATCTTAACATATGCTAAGGCCAAAAACAACCAGTGAGAAAAAGAGAGAAGACCCTTCTCAGCCTTGAGAAGCATCTTTCAGGAGTGTGATTGGGAGTAAATATGCTTCTCCTTTATATATTGTTTCTAAGCAAGAATTTTAAAAATGAATCCTACATATCTAAGGAACATCTTTTGATGTTTGATAAAGTTTTGATATATTTTGATAAAGTAATAAAAATCAAAGAAAAAAACTTTAGTAAGATGACATTGCTAAGATGCTCTATCTTGCTCGGTAATCTCATTTCAAAAACATTGTATTTTTGTAAAGTGTGGTCCCACCAGGAGGACAAGTCATGAATTTCACATCAAAAGACAGTTCTTTATACAACAGTGCTAAAAATCGGAGGACTTCTTTTCACATTCTTATAAATATGCAGCTCACCTGTTGCTTACAGTTGTTTTAATTTTGTATTTTTCAAGTGTGCATTTTGTACACTTTGTGGGGATAGGCTTACTGTGTGTGACTTTTCTGGTGGTTGATAATTTTGCTTTAAGTAGGTTTTCTTTAAAAGAATGGGCAGTTACATGCAGGTTTCAAGAGTATTTTCTGTTAAAAAAAGTTATATAGGCTTTGTTTGCTATCTTAATTTTGGTTGTATTCTTTGATGTTAACACATTTTATGTAATTGTATGGCTGTATTGAATCATATAATATCAAATATTAGAAGTGATTTAATAGTGTTAATCAGTTTAAACCCACTTTAGACACTTTTTTTTTTCTGAAAAATACTGCCAGATGCTGATGTTCAGTATAATTTCTTTGCCCGTTCAGTTACAGAAAGTGGTGCTCAGCTGTAGAATGTATTGTACTTTTTAACACCAGTTGTGTACATCCTGTATAACAGGAAGGGCGACAATAAAATAGTAATCCTACAGAAAGAATATGGCAGGAGAGAAAAGATGCAAATTTTAACATTTAATTAGGTTGGGATAGGGTATAGATGAAGAGTAAATAGAGATTTAGAAACACGTGGAAGCAGGTCAAGTTGAAGGTTTGCTCATACATAGTCTCTGTTTTTCTACCACTATGGATTTCTGCCATTTAAGCCATTTACATGAAAACACTTCAGAATTTTTGGTAGGCCTAGTTTGATGAGTGGCAGTTGAAGGAATCTTAAGTTTTTGACCTTTGAAAAAAATGAGCTTCCGTTTATGCTAGTCCATATACCTACAAAATCTAATTATGTAAAATACTTCGG